TTATCTTCAATTTGCATTCTTAGAAAATCTAAAACTTGAGGTTTTTTCAAATTTCTGTTGACTTTAATGGCTTCTACTATACAACATCCAACAATATCAGATTTTGATTGATTCTTAACAATTTGAAAAGCTTCTAAAAGTGTCATTCCAATTTTATCAATATGTTGTTCATACAAAATTAGAATATCAGTCATGACAGATTTTGTCAATTTGAACCCAACTTTTATTAATTGTTGTATACGTTTGACAAAGTCCATTGTAGTTGGATAATCACAAGCTTCTTCATTTTTATAATTTGGGTAAAATAAGATTAACAAAGAACCCTGTAAAACCAAATTATTGACATCTTTACATATATCATAGTAACCAATTTGTTTCCAGAATTCTATTATCTCAGGATAGATTAATATTGCTCTTGCAATTATGTTCAATTGCTTATTGTTTTCAAATCCATCCTTGCCTGGATACTCTTTACGATTAAGTATTTGCATTTCTATTTGGTAATCAATTGAATCTTCAAATGGGATTGCTGGTCTTGGGGGGAAAGGTATAAACTTTTTATTTAATATAAGATCCTTTATCTTTTCCAGGTTTCCCATCAACCTTTTTGGAGCCAAGTCTATAGACAAGGAACCCCCTGTTAAAAAATGAAACGTTTCAATGTCGTTACCTTTTAAGGAAAGACTTTCACCATATTGTAAATTGGCTTCTTTTAACAAAGCTACAAATACCGCTACTGGAATATTTGAGGCCCAAGAATTTCTATAATATTTTTGAGAAGCTTTAGATATTCCTTGATCCATGTCATTATTATCATTGTTGTTGTTGAAATTGATATCATTTTGTATTTTTAGTTTAATTAAACTATCGTCAATTTTTCCGAATTGTAATAATAATCGCTGCACGAGATATCTAGACAAAACCACATGTTCTCTTATCAAGAGATCAACTAGTTCTAATGATATAAAGTTATTACTGTAGCGAATTGCATAAAAAAACGAATTTGCTTTCCCGTGATTCTTAATGATCCAACTTGCTCTTGTTTTGGTATCTTGTGATATCTTGTACCATGATTTATTGGTTAAAATGAGCGAAAACGGAAATTTTGTATTTATAAATATTAATTTTTTTATCTTCTTTTTCATAATTTTCTCTCAAATCGAGAGAACAAAATGGTCATAATTTATACAAAATTTATATTATTTGGAATTTCCCATGCACAAATTTTAGGGTTCTTTGTTTGTTTGTTTATAATAAATAATATACGTCTGTGCATCCTTATTATTATTATTATTATGTATTCAAAATTCCTTATTATTATCTATTTAATTGACATCATTATTTGCGGGATTATTTTTAGGGGTAAATTTTAAGGATAATCAAAGAATTGAGTATAATCGAATGAAAAATCCCTTTGTCAACAAATTAGTTCAATAAAATGGGTAATAGTAATGCTAGCTTCAAATGACAGAAAAAATCAATAAATATATATAATATAGTTAGTCGATTATGTTGATACGATTTACAATTAGGATTTCCATATTAATATCTACATTTAATAATTCAATTTCACTAATTAAACTAGTGAGTGTTAACAATGATTAGTAACGTGATTTGATTTAGTGAATTAGACCAACGTTGGTTAACTGATGAGTGTTAATGAAGCATCGTCAAAAGGTTAATCGAAAATACTGGTGGTATTATTGTAATCGTAAACATAAGGCTGTTAAACAAGCTACTTAAGTTGCTTTGCAAGTAAACCAAAACGAGTTTGCAATCGGCTAAATAAATGTAAACAAATAAATTGATCACAAATGAATAAAAGGAACTTTATAGAAGCCTTTGTGCCTTTTAAAGGCCATCTTTATTTATTTACAGTTATCTGGTACCATTAAGTGTGCTCACAGATTCATCTAGGTGCAAGGAAGAGGGAACAAAGTAAATTTGTACAGTAACCAGTTAATTGACAAGCACCGAATTATTGTGAGTTGCTTGTGATTAACTGACGAAAGTAGTCCAAATACTTGTTAAATAATCGTTGTTAACCAAAACGATACCTTGTAATATTACCATTTAATATTAACAAGAATCAAAAAACTGTGAAAAGTTTATTATTTCAAAATAATTTAGCTTTAAGAATAAAATAAAAATAAAATAAAAAGATAAATAATTTTATAGTGGAGATTAAATTAGTCATTCATTGGTTCTTTCTTTTAATTATTAGAATCTAATGCAATCAATGTAGATAAAAATATTGTTAATAAATAATTAATAGATAGTAAGTTTCAATTAATTAATGTAATTTTTATTCAC